AACCCTACATTTTGCCGTAAGTGACGACTCTCTACTCCCAGTAGAAGCGGAGATATCAACGGAGAAAGCTTGGAAAACTTTAACCTTCGATATCTCCTAAACGGTTAGAGATACAGGCCTGGTTCTGGCACCAAATTAAAGTCCTCTCAAAACCCTACATTTTGCCGTAAGTGACGACTCTCTACTCCCAGTAGAAGCGGAGATATCGACGGAGAAAGCTTGGAAAACTTTAACCTTCGATATCTCCTAAACGGTTAGAGATACAGGCCTGGTTCTGGCACCAAATTAAAGTCCTCTCAAAACCCTACATTTTGCCGTAAGTGACGACTCTCTACTCCCAGTAGAAGCGGAGATATCAACGGAGAAAGCTTGGAAAACTTTAACCTTCGATATCTCCTAAACGGTTAGAGATACAGGCCTGGTTCTGGCACCAAATTAAAGTCCTCTCAAAACCCTACATTTTGCCGTAAGTGACGACTCTCTACTCCCAGTAGAAGCGGAGATATCGACGGAGAAAGCTTGGAAAACTTTAACCTTCGATATCTCCTAAACGGTTAGAGATACAGGCCTGGTTCTGGCACCAAATTAAAGTCCTCTCAAAACCCTACATTTTGCCGTAAGTGACGACTCTCTACTCCCAGTAGAAGCGGAGATATCAACCGAGAAAGCTTGGAAAACTTTAACCTTCGATATCTCCTAAACGGTTAGAGATACAGGCCTGGTTCTGGCACCAAATTAAAGTCCTCTCAAAACCCTACATTTTGCCGTAAGTGACGACTCTCTACTCCCAGTAGAAGCGGAGATATCGACGGAGAAAACTTGGAAAACTTTAACCTTCGATATCTCCTAAACGGTTAGAGATACAGGCCTGGTTCTGGCACCAAATTAAAGTCCTCTCAAAACCCTACATTTTGCCGTAAGTGACGACTCTCTACTCCCAGTAGAAGCGGAGATATCGACGGAGAAAACTTGGAAAACTTTAACCTTCGATATCTCCTAAACGGTTAGAGATACAGGCCTGGTTCTGGCACCAAATTAAAGTCCTCTCAAAACGCTACATTTTGCCGTAAGTGACGACTCTCTACTCCCAGTAGAAGCGGAGATATCAACGAGAAAGCTTGGAAAACTTTAACCTTCGATATCTCCTAAACGGTTAGAGATACAGGCCTGGTTCTGGCACCAAATTAAAGTCCTCTCAAAACCCTACATTTTGCCGTAAGTGACGACTCTCTACTCCCAGTAGAAGCGGAGATATCGACGGAGAAAGCTTGGAAAACTTTAACCTTCGATATCTCCTAAACGGTTAGAGATACAGGCCTGGTTCTGGCACCAAATTAAAGTCCTCTCAAAACCCTACATTTTGCCGTAAGTGACGACTCTCTACTCCCAGTAGAAGCGGAGATATCGACGGAGAAAGCTTGGAAAACTTTAACCTTCGATATCTCCTAAACGGTTAGAGATACAGGCCTGGTTCTGGCACCAAATTAAAGTCCTCTCAAAACCCTACATTTTGCCGTAAGTGACGACTCTCTACTCCCAGTAGAAGCGGAGATATCAACGAGAAAGCTTGGAAAACTTTAACCTTCGATATCTCCTAAACGGTTAGAGATACAGGCCTGGTTCTGGCACCAAATTAAAGTCCTCTCAAAACCCTACATTTTGCCGTAAGTGACGACTCTCTACTCCCAGTAGAAGCGGAGATATCGACGGAGAAAACTTGGAAAACTTTAACCTTCGATATCTCCTAAACGGTTAGAGATACAGGCCTGGTTCTGGCACCAAATTAAAGTCCTCTCAAAACCCTACATTTTGCCGTAAGTGACGACTCTCTACTCCCAGTAGAAGCGGAGATATCGACGGAGAAAACTTGGAAAACTTTAACCTTCGATATCTCCTAAACGGTTAGAGATACAGGCCTGGTTCTGGCACCAAATTAAAGTCCTCTCAAAACCCTACATTTTGCCGTAAGTGACGACTCTCTACTCCCAGTAGAAGCGGAGATATCAACGGAGAAAGCTTGGAAAAGTTTAACCTTCGATATCTCCTAAACGGTTAGAGATACAGGCCTGGTTCTGGCACCATATTAAAGTCCTCTCAAAACCCTACATTTTGCCGTAAGTGACGACTCTCTACTCCCAGTAGAAGCGGAGATATCAACGGAGAAAGCTTGGAAAACTTTAACCTTCGATATCTCCTAAACGGTTAGAGATACAGGCCTGGTTCTGGCACCAAATTAAAGTCCTCTCAAAACCCTACATTTTGCCGTAAGTGACGACTCTCTACTCCCGGTAGAAGCGGAGATATCGACGGAGAAAGCTTGGAAAACTTTAACCTTCGATATCTCCTAAACGGTTAGAGATACAGGCCTGGTTCTGGCACCAAATTAAAGTCCTCTCAAAACCCTACATTTTGCCGTAAATGGCGTCTCTCTACTCCCAGTAGAAGCGGAGATATCAACGGAGAAAGGTTGGAAAACTTTAACCTTCGATATCTCCTAAACGGTTAGAGATACAGGCCTGGTTCTGGCACCAAATTAAAGTCCTCTCAAAACCCTACATTTTGCCGTAAGTGACGACTCTCTACTCCCAGTAGAAGCGGAGATATCAACGGAGAAAGCTTGGAAAAGTTTAACCTTCGATATCTCCTAAACGGTTAGAGATACAGGCCTGGTTCTGGCACCATATTAAAGTCCTCTCAAAACCCTACATTTTGCCGTAAGTGACGACTCTCTACTCCCAGTAGAAGCGGAGATATCAACGGAGAAAGCTTGGAAAACTTTAACCTTCGATATCTCCTAAACGGTTAGAGATACAGGCCTGGTTCTGGCACCAAATTAAAGTCCTCTCAAAACCCTACATTTTGCCGTAAGTGACGACTCTCTACTCCCGGTAGAAGCGGAGATATCGACGGAGAAAGCTTGGAAAACTTTAACCTTCGATATCTCCTAAACGGTTAGAGATACAGGCCTGGTTCTGGCACCAAATTAAAGTCCTCTCAAAACCCTACATTTTGCCGTAAATGGCGTCTCTCTACTCCCAGTAGAAGCGGAGATATCAACGGAGAAAGGTTGGAAAACTTTAACCTTCGATATCTCCTAAACGGTTAGAGATACAGGCCTGGTTCTGGCACCATATTAAAGTCCTCTCAAAACCCTACATTTTGCCGTAAGTGACGACTCTCTACTCCCAGTAGAAGCGGAGATATCAACCGAGAAAGCTTGAAAAACTTTAACCTTCGATATCTCCTAAACGGTTAGAGATACAGGCCTGGTTCTGGCACCATATTAAAGTCCTCTCAAAACCCTACATTTTGCCGTAAGTGACGACTCTCTACTCCCAGTAGAAGCGGAGATATCAACCGAGAAAGCTTGAAAAACTTTAACCTTCGATATCTCCTAAACGGTTAGAGATACAGGCCTGGTTCTGGCACCAAATTAAAGTCCTCTCAAAACCCTACATTTTGCCGTAAATGGCGACTCTCTACTCCCAGTAGAAGCGGAGATATCAACGGAGAAAGGTTGGAAAACTTTAACCTTCGATATCTCCTAAACGGTTAGAGATACAGGCCTGGTTCTTTTTCCAAAATATAGCCCTGTATAAACCCCATTGCTCACCATAAATTTCGACTCTCAATTCCCATTAGAAGCGGAGATACTAATGGTACAATTTGGAAAATTTTAACCTTCGATATCTCCTAAACGGCTAGAGATACAGGCCTGTTTTTTTTTGCTAAAATAGTTCTGTAAAAACCCTATTCTCACCATAAATTTCTACTCTCAACTCCCAGTAGAAGCGAAGATATCAACGGTACAAATTGGAAAACTTTAACCTTCGATATCTCCTAAACGACTAAAGATACAGACCTGATTATTTTGCCAAATTACAGTCCTGTAAAAACCCTATTCTCACCATAAATTTCGACTCTCTGTTCCCAGTAGAAGCGGAGATATCAACGATACAAGTTGGAAAACTTTTTCCTTCGATATTTCCTAAACGGCTAGAGATACAGGCCTGACTTTTTAGCAAAATATAGCCCTGTAAAAACCCCATTGGTCACAATAAATTTCGACTCTCAATTCCCAGTAGAAGCGGAGATGTCAGCGGTACAAGTTGGAAAACTTTAATCTTCGATGTCTCCTAAACGGCTAGAGATACAGACCTGATTCTTTTATCAAAATATAACCCTGTAAAAACCCCATTGCTCACCATAAATTTCGACTCTCAATTCCCAATAGAAGCGGAGATATCAACGGTACAAGTTGGAAAACTTTAACCTTCGATATCTTCTACACGACTAGAGATACAGGCCTAATTATTTTGCCAAATTATAATCCTGTAAAAACCCTATTCTCACTATAAATTTCGTCTCTCATTTCCCAGTAGAAGCGGAGATATCAACGGTACAAGTTGAAAAACTTTAACCTTCGATATTTCCTAAACGGCTAGAAATACAGGCCTGTTTTTTGGTCAAAATATAGTCCTGTAAAAACCCTATTCTCACCATAAATTTCGACCTACAACATATGTGCATATATATATGTGTATTATCATCCAAAATTTATAAAATCTATGCAATGCTGCTAGTAAGCATTAATCGTTTATATTTTAAAAATTAATGAATATGCATGTGTACGCATATATATATGTAAGGATAGGAAGAAGGTCTATGATGTATTATACAATTTATATAATTATACAAAATTGTATAAAATTACAATTGTACAAAAATACAATTGAACAAAATAAATACTTACTAATTTCTGTTAAATATTTTATTAATCTATATATTAACCGTATCATCTTTTGACACTAATTAAATTTTTTGTTAATTTATGTATCCATTGTATTTGTATTAAGAGAGAAAAGGTACTTCTGAGATGAAACAATGTCACATAAAAACATGAATTTAAACAGAAATTGTACATTAATGTACATATAATTTTGAGTATAATGTTTTATTATCCTGATGAGTTCATAATTTTAATATGAACTAATAAAGAAGCCAGCTCAAGATCTTCACTATACATATTCTTTAAAGGGACACTCCTATATCCTGTTCTTAAACATCGTACCTGAAACAATATGAAATTTAATTAAGAAGAATTATATTAATAAACATGTTTAATGTTATATTAGATGTTCATATATAAAGTATATGTATACATATATCTTGTATTGTGTGTGTGTGTGTGTGTGTGTGTGTGTGTGTGTGTGTGTGTGTGTGTGTGCGCGTGCGTGTGTGTGACATTCATATATAAGGTGTCCGGTAATTAAGTGCCAACCTAAAGTATGAAGGTAGATTGGATTAAGAACGGAAACTTTTTCAATATTTAACTTGCAATATCTCGCCAACTATTTGTCGGAAGAAAATATGCTATTAGACTGTTTTATTCTACTTGGTCTCAAGAATATATTGTTACAATAGCACCCTGACTTTTGTTAATTTGATGATTTTGAAATTTCCAAGTCAATAAATTTCCAAAAGTCAATAAAAAATTAGGGAACTATTGTAACAATATGTTCTTGAGACCAAATACAGTAAAAAAGTCTAGTACCATTTTTTCTTCTGACAAATAATTAGCGAGATATCGTAAGTTAAGTATTAAAAAAGTCACCAAGTTTTCCTTAAATATCTTAAAACATATTAAGTAAATAAAAAAATGTTTCAGACGAAAGTTGTTCAAATTAATTAATAGAAAAAGATGATATAATAAGAAATGGGGGTTTCTGTTTAAAAAAAATAAGTTGACCTTGACCTGACCTTAATAATGCCACTCAAGGTCAAACTGATAAGTAAATACATCGTTTTGAGTCTTATAACTTTTGTCTTAAACACTTTTCTGTAAAACATATCTTTCGAGATTTTTAAGGGTTTCCATCTTTTTTCCTCACCTTGTAGATGATTGGAGAAACGTTGCAGCCGCTCGGACCACAGCGCGGTCCAGTCGATCCAACAACTGGTGTCGGTGCGTGGCAATCCTTTGGACAACGTGCCGCTATTCGTTGTGTTATCTCACCGCACGCCGCTAACAGTAAACCATAGGTCAACTGGGTCACAGTATGGTCCGAAAGGCTACGACGCTCCTCCAATCATCCATCTCGGTGCACGTTCACTCGTCAGATTTCTGTCATTAATAACTCGATAATTATTGCGATTTTTGCAAAATTATATTTTACTTTTCTTTTCAGCTTAACCTAATCTACTTTCACATTTCGGGTTGGCAGCTAATTACCAGACACCCTGTATATGTTATAATGTATATGTAGAATAAAAGTTTGTAAACATTATTTATTCCGTTATTTCATTATCTTCTCCGCAATAACTGGACTTGGTTTTACATTCTATATTCCTATATCAAACGTTTCTATTTCATTAACTTCAAAAGTTTCTTACTTAAAATTATAATATCGTGCAGAATATTTGTATACATGTGTGTGCTCACACGTGCACGCACACAGTACGCACATATACACACACATAGAGATGTTTCCTGTTACGTACAACAATTAGATACTTACTGGGTAAGTAGCTTGTCCTATAAAGTTATTGTCACCAAACATATCTTCATCTTGCACTAAAAATCTTATGAGGGCAAAATATGGATTAAATATCTCAAATTCGCATGTTTCGTTCCACATTGGATTAAATCCATTATCCGCTGTAAAAATTATAATGTTTAGTCATAATTAATGATAAAACTGATATTTAAAACAAAAGCACTTACATATAGTTTTAGTTGTCAGTTTTATTCCTGAATCAAAATCTGCACCCACAATTTCGACTTCGATAGATGGACTGACAGTACCTCTTCCTGATTTCATTAAATGTCTGGCTCCAATAATTTTCAAATTAATTTTAAGTGAATTAACTTCGTGTAATACATTTTTATCATATGGATTAAAGTCATGTCCGAACATGAATTCTGGTTTTAATAAATAACCACAATTGCCATTTTCTTTGAATTTAGCTTGATTTAATTGCATTGATTTATCTCCAGTCTGATAATTCAAAGCTACCATCTGACAACCAGAATTCCACATTGGTACAGGATTATAATTAGATGAATCAATACGCTGTCCCTTTGGATAAACCCTACTAAATTGAATCTATAAACAATAGAATTTTATTAATTATATGTTCTGTTATTTAATTTTATATGCTATTTTATATACTATATATAGGATATATGAAGCAAGATATCCAAAACCGTGCGTGAAAGAACTGTTAAAAGCATGTCAACATGAGCGCGAGAACTTCTGTCATTTCATTTATCACATGAAATTCCAAGGTATTAATAAAAAATTAGCGGATCAGAGCGCGCAACGGTATAAGACAAATTCGTAGACCATTCGTTTCGCGAATTAATAAAAAATGGTTGAGATGCAACTGGCTCTTACAAAGGAACTTTATATGAAGTGTAAATCATCGTTTTGGCTGAAATTTTGTAGATAAGTCAAAAAACAAAAAATATTTGACCCGTGCTTTACCTTTTATTCATACGCCTGATAATTTTGAATTTATTCAATAACAAAGTTGAAGCGGTTAGACTCCGCGTGAAATAGAGTATTCAAACGGGCGCTTATCAAAAGCCACAAGGTGAAACAAGCTAGTCACTTGATGAGTGAGTTATTAATACGAGTTCGATTCTAACTGCTATAAGATATATTTTTTTCTTCCTTTTTCATTTATACTACTTTTAATTTAATATTATAAATATATAAAAATATACAGGGTGTACCGTAAGTCGAGGTAAATCATTCGGGAGATGAATAGGGAATCAAGAAAGAAAATTGGTACAAAAATATATTGTTTTCGAGTTATCGCCATTTTTATGTTAAAATTTGAAATTGGCATGCTTTCGAATTTTTTTATCAAGATTGAAACATGAGATGGTTTTTATGAGTTTCAAAACATAATTAAAGTCAAATAAAAGTTGCGGGCTGCTTTAGCACTACCCAGGATACATCACGAAGAGGTATAGCTCACTTAGCATTCGTTGACAGAGATTAGGATCCCATAATTTGTCACTTCTATGGTATTTAGTGACTCCAAACCTTCTCTGCCGTGTGTGTGTGTGTGTGTGTGTGTGTAAATGTAAAAATTATATGAAATGATCGAAATAACCTTCTTCTGCATGAATGCAGGCTCTAAGCCTTCTTTCTAAAAAGCCTCGAATTCTTTGTAGCATTTCCGGATTTTCCCTAATATTTTCAAATGCATTAGTTATTTTCATCATTTCGAACATTTCATTTATTTTTTATCATTCACACACACATACACACGCACACGCGCGCACGCACACGCTTCGTTCCCTCATTAGTGACAGTAGTTGTCGGCGTGCGAACAATTTACATACGTATATATATATATATACCTGATGGTATTTTATAAAAAATTTGTTTTCTTGTTGACACATTAATTTCTCAGCTTTTGTTTCAGGGAAACTACTCATTTCATTGAATGTAAATCCTTTAGTCCTTAACTTCTCTATGTTAAATGCAACTGATCTAAAATATACAATAAGATTAGACATTTCCTTGGCTATTCTCCATGTTCTTTCCATTTCTTTATGCTGACTTTCCTGTAGAAAATATTCATAATGCATATCATATATTTATTTCAAACAATATCATAATTTTATATAAAATAGTTACCCTAACACTTGCATTTTGTGCAGTCTCTTTGATACTGGTCATCCATTCCAATGCAGTATCCTTTGAAGGTGTCGCAATTTCAAATACTGTACACATACTAGGATTTTGTATCCTTAAAATCCATTCCAAACCAGATCTTTCTTGACAAACCGTTAATTCAACTACAGCACCCATTATATCTAACGAACCTTTTTGCAAACTACCGAGCATCATAGAATCTGCTGACTAAAAAATATAAAATATTATTCGGATAGATATAATAGTAAAAGAGCTTTATAATTTTAATTATGTCATCAGTTTCGACAGTTCTTTGACAGCTGACAGTTGGCGACAATTATTTAGCAGCTGATAATGAGGAGAAGGTCAGCTGCAAGGTAGGGAAGCAAAACTAAAAAATAAGCTAGTACCATAGACATAATATACTTAGACTGCATATTCGAGGAGTGGAGGTAGAGCTCACGTAAAGAAGGATGCATTCTGTTTTATCTGTGCATTCTGTTTCGCACATTCTCGATGGAAAAGGAATAGAGGAGGCAGTTGCTAACTTGTACGACAATACAGCCTCTGTTGTTTTATTTTTTTCCCGATATAGTTATCAACCTAGATCACCGTGCCTTTGGCTTACCCCGAGATATGTACAGGTATAATCATTATACTGTCGTACAGGTTAGCAACTGCCTCCCTTATTCTCCTTCCATACGAGAGAGCACGCATAGACAAAACAAGGTGCATTCTTTTTTATATGAAGTCTACCCCCATCCTTGAAATTTGGCAGAACGCGCAGTTTAGATATGCTATGTCTATGACTAGGACCAAACCCGAGCTAGAATCGAACCCAGGTCTTTCGGTTGCTATAACAATTCTACTAACAAGGTCATCATAGATGTTTAGTAGAACAGACAGTGAAGCTTCTGTTACTAGTTACTAGTTTCTTACAATACTGGACGGAAGAGGAAAATATCCCCGCTTGTAGATTTTTTGCGAAAGCGATTACGTCGGTTATCGTACTATATTAAAACATTATCAAACGTTTACCAAACTACTCAAATCAAATGTCTAATCAAATGTCTATCATACCATATCATATAGACTTTCTAATAAATATCAAACTGCAATAAAGTACTTTATTTATCTGTCAATTACAATTCCTATTACGACCAAGTATAATTACAACTATGACAAAATAATATAGTATGATAGACCTTTGATAATTATTTAATAGTGATTCGATAGTAATTTAATACTGGTTTGATAGTCAGTTCCAGAGGCTTTACTGTGTTTTTCCTACTAAAAATCTACAGTAGCTTAGTTGATGGGCCTGTATAGCCCATCAACTAAGATTGAAAGACTTGGGTTCGTTTCTGGCTCAGTCCTGGCTTATTTTTTATTTTCGTCCTTCCAGCTGACCTCATCACCCTATTATCTATTATCAGCTATCACATAATTGTCGCCAATAATCAGCTGTCAGCTATCAAAGGATTATCGAAGCTGACAGCGTCATTTTGAGTTAGAATCGGCATATCGCGTTCCTTTACTTACAATTACTTTAATCTTTTATATCCTGAATTAATTTACCTAAAATCTTATTAAATTTTTATATAATTATATAGCTTTTATATTTATTTCTTATTTATTATAAATATAAAGAAAAACAAATAAATTTTATAATTTAATAATTCAATTTTAAGGTAGTACTTGTAAATACCAACAAGAATGTAGGATAAGACAGAAAAAAAGTTCAAAAACATAAACATTCATATTGAATGATTCATTTAAGTACTGTCAGCATATACAGGGTTAAGTGATAAATCATTCTTTCTAAAAAAAAACTAAATATTCTCTGAAAGAGCTTTAAATAAAGATTATTAGGTTCCAAGAAACATTCAAAGTTACAATTTTGATCATGAGTTATGTCATTAAACTTAAAATTACGTCATAATCGCTTTAAATATTTTAAAAACATTGTTTCTTCTTTAAAAGAATAGATTCTATTTGTTACGCTACGTATAAAAATATTGATATAATATTTTGCACATTAATACTTCATGGAAAATTTTACATTACACATCCTAATATTTTTTTATATAAAATATAAAATCTCATAAAATAATCACTTTTTCATGACGTTTCTTAATACTTCTTTTAAGGCCTCTGGGTATTCGACGTGGCTATATTAGAATTGTGAGATCATAGGCGAGAAATGACATACTGAGAATTCTTGCATGTCATTTTTAAATAAGAAGATATTCCTCAAAAATAACACTCGAAATGGCTTCAGCACACTTGGTGTGCTGAATTTCTCTGTGCAATTTCTCGCTGAAAACTTGTGATTCAAGTTTTTACTGACATTTCTGTTTCGCTTTTACAAATGGAATTGAAGACTTACATCACCCTGATTTTCTTGTTGATCAATTTGTTCTACATAATTAGCAGGAAACCAGTGTTGTCTTTTGCCACCATAATCACCTCTCCACCAACCTCCACTTTGTGGATTGACATTAGTAATTATAGCATGCTTGACTAATGTCAATTCATCGTCTCTTCTCGCTTTATAATCATAAATAGCCTTAACTGTAACCTATAATTACAAAAATTACAAAAATGGTTTTACTGAATATTTTAATTGTTATTAGTACAATCTTATATACCTTTGATGTGAAGCTTGTAGGATCCATATATCCTGGGATACCATAAACAGATCCATCATCATTATCCTAAATAAAGAACACAATAAATTATAATCAATTTGTCTAATATTTTTAAACGTATATGTATATATTTATGATCATAAACTTATTAAAAATTAAGTGTGTACCAGTCCCATTCTTCTAATAATATCTTGATTGACAGGATGACTTAATTTAATCTTTTTATACAATGTATGCCGTTCATAATAATTGACTAATTCGACTAAACTCTCAAATTGTACAGTTCCAGTGGTATAGAGTCTTCCTTCGAGTTTTATTTTACAGTGCTTTATTTTCTTTTCTGCTCTGTAATAATAGAATGCAATTTAATGTCAATATAAAAAGTAGATTATATACCCAGATAACACACAGACGTCCAACAGACGTCCAGTGGACGTTCGAATTTGGACTTCGGGACGTCCATAAGACGTCCAAAAAAATTCGACAGACGTTCATAGGACATTCATAGGACATCCGTTTTTCACAATTCTAGACGTCCATAGAATACCCAAACCAAGAATCTAAAATGGACATCATTCTCAATTACTATTCGTAATTATTAGCAAAATAAACATTCAAAAATACCTAAAGGAAAGGTTTATCAACAACAATAAAATTCTGAAATGCAAAAAATATTATTTATTTTTATATCAATATATAAAATTTAATTACAAAATTTTATTTCTCTAATGCGTTTGGAACGTAAGTCAAATAGTCTAATGAAAGAATTTATCCCTTAAGAATAAGACGTTTTTGAAATAAGCTTTCTTAAAGGATCATTTGCTTATGTTCCAAAATATATTAAGGAAATAACAATCTTTCAGTGTACTGTATATATCTGTATATATAACAGAAAATAATACTTATTTTAAATCATCTGTCATCTATTACTCAAAACCCAGTCTGAAAACATAAATAGTTATAACTCGACCTTTGGAAATTTCAAAATTATTAAATTAACAAAAGTTAGGGCAATATTATAGTAATATATTCTTGATAGTAAATAAAGTAAAAAAGTCTAATACTATTTTTTTCTTTCGACGAATAGTTAGCGAGATATCGTAAGTTAAATGTTGAAAAAGTTACCAAGTTTTCCTTAAATTTTTCAAAAAATATTAGGCAAATAAAAAATATTTCAGACACAAGTTGTTAAAATTAATTGGTAAAAAAAAGAAGATATAATAAAAAATTGGGCCTTCTATTTTCTAAAATTAAGTTGGCCTTCAACTGACCTTGAAAATGCCTTCCAAATAAAAAACTAATAATGCCATTCTCTTTCCCCTTCGAAATTATGGAACATGTGTTTTAGCTTTTTTAATATCTTTCATAATTTTCGAGATTTTTTACCTGTTACGTTTGAAATTTAGTACCCTGTATATATATACGAACGAAATCTAAACAAGCCTTAAGGCACACTTAGTGCAAGCAATCAAATTCACTATAAAAATTTTTGGACAATGACTATTGACGTCCAACATTGGACATTCTATGGATGTCCTAATATGGACATTTGATGAATCCAAAATTGGATATACGATGAACGTCCATTTCACGTTCATGAACGTGCGGACGTAAAATGGACATAAAATAGCATATCTTGTGTTATCTGGGTAGCGTATAATTAATAACTCGCTTCTACTCTAATAATCATGTAATATTATCCGTAATGAAAACTTGAATCCAAAAGTCTGAGATCTTTCTTGTGTTTGTCCAAGACGATAAAGAATCAAGGGATTTTGTGCATCTTGAATATAAGAAAAAAGCAGTACAACTTTGGAAAGAAAAAAAAAGAAGTTTGGAAACAGTGCAACGTCGATTCGTAAAAATTAAACATCAGAGGAAGCTGTACAGATGGAAAGAGCACGTAGATAATGGTGGGGTATGAACTGATTATGAAATTACTTCATACACTGCTCAAAATAATTATAGCATAGATAATTTATTGCCGAAAATTCAAAGTCACCGTCAAGTCCGTTACTCGATTTTCTACAACATTTATATTTAAAGTCTTTCATAAAAACTTGATCCTGCAAAGTTATCCGGGGGTTCCGGTATTTTTAAGACACCCTGTATATATAAAGCATTATTGTATACAAATTATACTACAAATGTTGCTGCAATGTTACACTGCAAATTTATTGCAATATTTCATTGCAATATTGATGCAAGCGGACATTTTACCTTTGCTGCAAGATTGCAGCAACATTGCAGCAACATTTCGCATCGTTTCTGCAATGTTGCAATCTTGCAAAACAACGTTCCTGCAATGTTGCTGCAACGGTGCTGTGCTGTATGGGTAAATTCTTATGTATTTTAATCAAAAGTTTCGTTAGTTTCCGGACAGAAGGTATTATGCTTTTTTATATTAAAAAAACAAAACGCGGCGGAAACTTGTAAGATATGCGCTACTGTGCTTATTGTATACTTATAATATGGGATCGTCCGTTAATCACATTGATATATTATTCGGTATTTTTTTACCTCTTCCCCTACGTGATTTTAATATCACATCACAGCTAACCCCTCCCTCCTATCACGTCATTTATTAATGTCGTCTTATTAATAAGAAATTCACGTATATAAATATATATTTATTTATTTTATATATTATATAAATTTGACAAATAAACTATATATATATCATATATATATATATATATATATAGTTTATTTGTCAAATGGTCAATATATATATATATATCGTATATATATATATATATATGGGTATATATATATATATATATATATATACATATATACCCAGCAAACACAGAATATAACTGTTATATAACATAGGAGTAACATGTAATATAACATATGTTATATTCTAGTTATATTGAGGTTATATAATTGTAATATAATTGTTATATATCTATTACATTGTTTTGTTATAACCTGGAGATAACATAATAATAATAATATAATAGTAATGTAACACGTTATATAACAATAATTACGTTCATATTAAATTGATGTTATATAATACAATTATTCATGCAAGCCATTAAAAGCTGCAAATACTTTCTATTGCGAATAAGGGTGCATTCCGATAGAGAAAGAAATAGCAAAGCGGAACAGTAACAAATAAAAGAAATGGTGGGAGGCTAATCAACCAGAAATTTCGGTCTGCTTTTTTATGGATACTTTGTTGTGTAGTTCTGTGTTTTTCTGCATTTTTAATGCCTTCATCGCGCTTAAGCAGACCATATTGCCCATTTATATTGACGTTCATAATGCATCCTGATATGTATATTCCCATAAAAAGGTACATCGAATCCACGTGGAACGCGCGTTGCATTCACGTGAAATCCACAAAACCACATGGATTTCACGTGGATACAATGTTCCTGTTTTCGTGGGGATATCTGCACTTATACTATTTAAACGTTTAAGAACGCTTGTATATTATACAAAACTCACACACAGAAGAATTTCTTTGGTTTAATATTCTTACTTGTTTGATTTTGAATTGTTTCATTAAAATATTATATTTTTACAATAGCATTTTTAAAAATAAATACTCTATTTCCTTGAAAGAAACCATATTGATGAAAAAAAATATTTAAGATATTTTTCAAAAGATTTTTTTTAGATTTAGTAATTAAAACTTTTTATTTAGACTTCTTTGAATTTATTTCAAATTATTTTTTTTTTGGGTTAACCATTATAATACTCCATTATCAGTAATTTTGAAACATAACTTACACTGATATTCATCCCATATCGAATGTTGGTGCATTGTTTTAATTTTTGATAAGAAAGGTTGTAATGTTCTGTAATTACTATAAGTATACATTATACAGAATGTCCCATTTTTAATGATCCAGCTCAATATCTCGAAAGCTAAACCCAGTAGACAAAAATATTTCAAATAAAAGTTGTTTGGCTCGAAGGGGGACATAAGATGGTGCCATTGATTTGACCTTGGATAGTCCTCTGAAGGTCACCTCCAATTTTTTAAATGGAACTCTTATTTTTTATTACATTATTCATAACATTTTTCTTATAGCTCATGTCGAGAGTTTTCCAAAACACTATAAGTTATTTTACGTTAAGTACTTGTTAAGTTATAAGGCTTGAAAGTTGCAATACAGTGGATTGTCATTTGAATAACCTTCTATATACATAACCTAAAAATTATTGGATCTATGCATAATTCCGTAGCGAAATTCCGACAGATGTCGTTCGCAGTTGTTCTTCCGCTCGCACATGTGTCAAACATATTAAGTGTCGTACATTAAGTGAAAGCTGAAACTTATGCCGACATTTTAAGAAAGTATTCATCGAGATCCATGACGTATATGAAGTTTAATTATATTTTGAACATAGAAGGAAAAAACGTTTCGGTGCATTTCGCTTTTTTATTTCCGAAAAGGCAAAAACGCATCGCAAACTCACAAAAAGATATACGCCGTGTACGGACTCACACAGCACTGCAATATTGCAGCAATTGGAGCAATATTATAATATCGTAGCAATATTACAAATCACAAGATTATTATATAATATTCCAGCAATATTATCACAATATTACAGAGTGATATATCAGATTACATCACTGGAATATTACTGCAATGTTACAATGTGACTATCGTATGGCAACATAGTGACAATATTACAACAATATTGCGCGATGATAAATCTCATTGCAATATCATAGGAATATTGCCGCTATATTCTAGCATGATAGACCGCTACATAATATTTCTGATTATCGCAGTAATACTTCAATGTGATATATCAATCTACAATATCGCAGAAATATTATAACAATATTGCAAAATGATATATCAGATTACAATATCAGTGAAATATTACTGCATGTTACAACGTGACTATTATATGGCAACATAGTGACAATATTACAACAATATTGCGCGATGATAAATCTCATAGCAATATCATAGGAATATTGCCGCTATATTCCAGCATGATAGACCACTATGTAATATTTCTGAGTATCGCAGTAATACTTCAATGTGATATATTGATCTACAATATCGCAGGAATATTATAACAATGTTGCGGAGTGATATATCAGACAGATTGAATAAATCAGCATTATAAAATGAAAAAACGTTAGAAAAATTGATATAAGATGAAATTTGTGATTTCGGCTGCAATGTTGAGTCCGTCATATTGAAAAAAAATTTTGAAAAAAAACTATCCACATATTTTTAAGGTACAAATGTTAATAACGCGATCTTTGTAGTTTCCGGTATAAAGTAACAATTTTTTTTAAGAAATCAATGATTTTCATAAAAGACAGACTGAAGAAAATACGCCGTTTTGTTTAGATCTAAATGGTCAAATTGTAAAAAGCTTACCCGAAAACTTAAAAAAATTATTCCCGAAAAGGATTATTAGCGATTTCTTTAATATCTGTTAGCTCAAAGTTTATAGTCACGCTATTGACGGTAGCTGTACTCAGTTTCAAAATCCTTTACTGAATAAGACATAAAATTTTTTCGATTTGCGAAAAGTTCTTATTGAGAACTTCTATAAACATTATTCTTTATGCTATCATTATATTTATATTTCTATTATTGAAAATTGTCTTCTATATATATATATACGTTAATATTACATCTATATTTTTATTATAAAAATGATAATGATAAGATACTGATTTTAATAAAAACTTTTTAGCAATTATGGTTTATAGCATCTTACAAATCTTATAAAATTTATTATTCTGAAGCTATGATTACCGAAAATATTTGCATTTTGACTTAATAGATGAGCGATATATCAGACAATATCACTGGAATATTACAATATCACTAGAATATTACTGCAATGTTACAATGTGACTATCGTATGACAACATAGTGGCAATATTACAACATTATTGCGCGATGATAAATCTCATTGCAATATCACAGGAATATTGCCGCTGTATTCCAGCATGACAGACCGCCACGTAATATTTCTGATTATCGCCGCAATACTGCAGTGTGAAACAATTTATATACAGAGTGTCCCATTTTAATGTCACATTACAAATATCTCAGAAACACTGCGTTAAATAAAAAAATGTTTCAGACAAAAGTTGTTTGACTTGAAGGGGGACATAAGACAGCGATAGCATTTTGTTAATAGATGATGCCACTTTCAAGATATTCACTGACCATCAATTTTTATAAATGAAAATCCCAATTTTTTATTATATCTTCTTTTTCTACCAATTAATTTGAACAACTTTTGTCTGAAACATTTTTTTATTTGGTTAATATTTTTTGAGATATTTAAGGAAAACTTGGTAACTTTTTCAACATTTAACTTACGATATCTCGCTAACTATTCGTCGAAAGAAAAAATAGTGTTAGACTTTTTTTACTTTACTTACTATCAAGAATATATTATTATAATAGCGCCCTAACTTTTGTTAACTTATCGACCTTTGGAAATTTCAAAATTATTAAATTAACAAAAGTTAGGGCACTATTAATATATTCTTGATATTAAATAAAGTAAAAAAGTCTAATAGTATTTTTTTGTCGACGAATAGTTAGCGAGATATCGTAAGATAAATGTTGGAAAAGTTACAAAGTTTTCCTTAAATATCTCAAAAAATATTAAGCAAATAAAAAATGTTTCAGACAAAAGTTTTTCAAATTAATTGGTAGAAAAAGAAGATATAATAAAAAGTTGGAATTTTCATTTATAAAAATTGATGGTCAGTGAATATCTTAAAAGTGGCACCATCTATTAACAAAATGCTATCGCTGTCTTATGTCCCCCTTCAAGTCAAACAACTTTTGTCTGAAACATTTTTTTATTTAACGCAGTGTTTCTAAAGCGTGGTCTACAATGGCCGTAAGCAATAAGAAGAAAGCGTGAACGGTAAGAAATGGACCAACCACAGTTGATTATTTTTGTCATAATCGACTGTGATTGGTTTATTTCTTACCGCTTACACTTACTTCTTACTGCTTACTGCCATTGTAGACCACGCTTGAGATATTTTTGCGAGATTTATGCCTAGGACATTAAGTATTTTTGCAATATTGCTGTGATATTTATGCAATATTTCAGTAATATTCCTGCAATATTGCAGCAACATTTAAGAAATATTGTAGCAACATTCCTGCACGATTGCAGTAATATTTCGGCAATATTTTGCAATTTTTCTGCAGTATTGTGGCTATATTTCATAGGTATTCCTGCAACATTGTGGCGATATTTCAACAACATTGTGGCAATAGTCCTGTGATATTGTGACAATATTCCTACAATATTCCCGCAATATCTCTGCGAGACTTATGCCTAGGACATTAAATATTTCTACAATATTGTTGTCATATTTATGCAATATTTTAGTAATATTCCTGCAACATTTCTGTAATATTCCTGCAATATTGCGGTGCTATGTGGGGAGAGAATGCCGTAAGCGAAAGTGTATGTCGGAAGTGGTTTGCGAAATTTCGTTGCGGAGATTTTAATCTCCAAGATGCTCCTCGCTCACCCAGGTAGAACAAAAAATAATAATAATATAATTATGATATAAAAAAAAATAATTTTAAGACAAATCAGGATGATGTCATTCGATATAGTTTCCGTAATGGTTTGGTGATGTTTTTTTGATATTGAAATGATATTATGGTGACGTTTAGAACTGTACATTAAAACAAAGTTACAATAACATCAAAGTGACGTCAAAATGACGTCAAAATGACAAGAAAATTATCTAATCATGATTGCAAAGTGAGTTTTTATAGTCTTTTGTTACTCATTTTGAAGTCATTATGATTTTTTGTTTAAATGATAATATAGCTTATACATATACATATACAATGTCCGAAAAACATTTTAGAGATATCCTATTTCTAAAACGTCTTTTGGGCATATATAGGTATTTGTGTATGCATGGATAAGAAATATAGAGTAACAAATGTGAATGTGAATATTTGGGTGTTATTTTGAGTTTTCTTGGGTGTTATTTTGAGGGTTTTCGTTGAGCGTTAACCCTCATTTGGCTGTAACCTTCAATTAACGACCCGAAATCACACCCAATTTAAGTGTTTTTCCGGTGTATAACGTCCAAAATTAAGCGTTTATTCGGTGTATAACACTCCAAGTTGAGCGTTTTTTATCGGTGTTTAACACCCCAAAGTTAAGCGTTCTTTGAGTGTTAACCAAAATTGAGGATCTTTTTTTATAAGGGCTAATATACATAATGTCCTGTGTGTATATAATATACATATATATCTATCTTTACTCCTTAGTCCCGCCACGTTCCAAAAGCCACCTTATATACCTTTCTCACCTTTCCCTCTTCTCTTCCCTCCTCTCCCCCTTCTCAACTCCTCTCTCTCTCCTCCCCCTCTGTCTCCCCTCTCCCTTCGCCTCACCCTACCCCAGTTCCCCTTCATCTCCAACCACTTCTCTCTTACTTCGTCCCATCTCTGCATTCTCCCACATCTTCATATACCCTATCTGCACCTGCACCTGCACATTCTTGCCCTTCTTTCTCTCTACTTCTGCCACTCTCTCTATCCTCCATTTTGTCTTCCTCTCTTCTACCGTTAAATCATCTTCTATCCTCTCCCTTCTTCCTCTCAGCTTCTTCTTCGCCTCCATCACTTTCCTCTCCTCCTTTACACTACCTAATTTCACTAGTACCATCCCATCCCCTTTTTCTCCCCCTTCCCTATCTTCGCTTCTCTCATTTCCACCTCCAACTTCAATTTCCGCCATATCTCCTTCACTCCCTCCTCCACTCCTTTCTCCCCTATCTCCACCCCCTTTACCACTACATTCCTTCTCCTCTCTTCCCTTTCCTTTTTATCTATCCTTATCTCCAATTCCCTTATCTTTTCTCTCTCCTTCTCCCCTAATCCTCCTACCTTCCCCCTTTCCCCCTCCCATTCCTTCCAACTCCTCAACTATTCCTCTATTTTCTTTATCTTTTCCTCCCCCTCCCCCCTCTCCTCTCCCGTTCCTTTCACTCCTCCTCTCTTCTCTCTCCTTTCTCAGTTCCTCTCTTAGTTCCCTGATCTCTCTTTCTCTCCTCTCCCCCACCCTCTTCACTTCCTCCTTAAAACCTCTTACTTCCTCCATTAATTTCCACACCGTTACTTTCACCTCTCCTTCTTTTATCCATCCTTCCTTCCCTTCTTCCCCTTTCTCTTCCTCCATCCCTCTTCTCCCCCCTCTGCCACCCTCTCCTGTCGACTTCCTATCTTTGTATTCTTTTTCACAACTCTTTCCTCTTCCCCCTCCTCTCTTTCTCCTTTTCTTGTCTTCCTTTCCCCCTCCCACATTAACTCTATGTAGCTTCCTCACTTCCCATGCTACTTGTACTGTCCCTTCTTAGCCTTTCCGCATTTGTCGGTCTTCCCATCCTTCTTTCCATCCTACCTTCCTCCCTCTGCTCCTCCCCTTCCTCCCTCTCCTCCTCCTTTCCTCCTCCATCCTCTCACCCTTCCCTCCCTTCCCCCTCAACTTTTGCCTTACTTTTCTTTAAATTCTCCGCTTCTCTCTCTTAGTTCCCCTTTTTGTCACCAGTCCGCGCCACCTCTTTCACTCACTTGTCCCTCTCTGTCTTCCACACTGTCCCTGTTCCCTAACCTTATCTGCCCGCTCACTCCTTCAACCCCCCTATCACTATTCTTCCCCCTCTCCTTCTCCAACTCTTATTCTCCCTTGTCCCTACTACCTTTCCATCACACCCTGCGCCCTTCCCCTCTCCTCCACACTCTCCAATTTCCCACCGAAACCCTCGTGTATAATTCCTGCCCTGTCACTCCTAACTCACAATCCTTTGTCGCCGTAAACGGAAGTCTAACCACGCGTATTTTATTTCTCATAAAAAACTTCCAAAATACAACTTTTGTTTAAAAAGTTTTTTCTATCTGCAATAGTTATCGAGATAGCATAAAAGAGACGAAATTTTGAGAGGGTGTTTCACCCCTTATACCTGCGCCATTGCCGATAAAAAAATACGGACCTTTTATTTTTGGCTATTCCAAATTTCATCAAAATCGGAAACACACACTTCGCGGATGTTCCTTGTAAGACATTTTTCTTGAAAACTTGATCCTTCAAAATTACTCAGGTGTTCCGATATTTTTTCCTCACCCTGTATATAAGCTATATGATAACATACATAAAATATATATAATGAAAACAAATACACAAGGCACTTTAGAATATCTTACCTAAATGAAATTGCATAGCAATTACTTTCTCTTTCACTAGGTCTTACTAAGAATGCACCATCTGTAGGTATCCGTTTTAACATCTCTTCTGCTGCAGTTCGAGTACATGCAGGATGCCACCATTCCTTTTCCTCGTGTTTATTTGGTTGAGGCACTGGCTCTTGTAAGGTGATTAGAAACTCCTATATATTAAGAACATTCGTTATATTTCCTAAACATATATTTTCTGCGAATAATATACAAATAGTGCATATAAACTTTTATAGACTAATATTTCGGAACAAATACTCAAAAAAAGAAATTATCTAAAAAAAGTTTTAGAATATATTATAAGATTTCGAGAGAATGTGATATAAGGTGGCCGGTTATTAGCTGCCAACTCGAAGTAGATTGGAAGGTAGATTGGATTAACACAAACATAAAAGTCCCATACCGTTTTGCGGGATTCGCAATAATTATCGAGTTAATAATGACAGAAATTTAAGGAGTGGGAGCGCGCCGGATTGATCCAGAAACTGTTGCCGATGCGCAGTGAGGGGAAGGACAACGCGCCGGTATTGGTGTCTTATCTCGCCGTACCTACGTCTCGCCGCACGCCGCCAACAGCTGCTGAGTCGACTGGCTATGACCTGAGCAACTGCAACACTTCTCCAATCATCTATGTCGGCGCGCTTCTACTCCTCCCAGATTTCTGTCATTCATAACTCGATAATTATTACGAATCTTGCAAAACAGTATAGGACTTTTATGTTTGTCTTAACCCAATCTACCTTCACACTTCGGGTTGGCAGCTAATTACTGGACACCCTGTATAGTATAGAAAGATCTCTCAAATACATAACACTTTCTCATGAACAATTTTTTGATACAACAAATATTTTTAGAGTTTTTGAATGTCACACTTTACGTGGGCCACCCTGTATACAGGGTGTCCCACCCCAAATAACTCTTCAGTATTGAAGTTTCAAGGAAAATAATATCAATAAAAGTTGTAGGAATTTAAGTGAGCTACCTAATGATGACGTTGACTTCCATTTGACCTTAACCTCCATTTTTAAGATCATTAGAAGTTTAACTTGCGTTTTTTAAATGGGAACTCTTATTTTTATTACACTGTTTTTTTCTACTAGTTAATTTGAACAACTTTTGTCTAAAACATTTTTTTATTTGTCTAATTTTTTTTTAGATATTTGAAGAAAACTTGATAACTTTTTCAATATTTGACTTACGATATCTCGCTAATTATTTGTCGGAAGAAAAAGTGGTACTAGACTTTCCTGCTTTATTTAGTCTCAAGAATATATTCTTACAATAGCGCCTTGACCTTTGTTAACTTACTGATTTTTGGAAATTTCAAAATCATCAGATTAACAAAAATCAAGGCGCTATTGTAACAATATATTCTTGAGACTAAATAAAGCAAAAAAGTCTAGTACCGCTTTTTCTTCCGACAAATAATTAGCGAGATATCGTAAGTTAAATATTGAAAAAGTTATCAAGTTTCCTCAAATATCTCAAAAACTATTAGACAAATAAAAAAATTTTTTAGACAAAAGTTGTTCAAATTAACGTATAAAAAAATAGTGTAATAAAAAATAAGGGTTCCCATTTAAAAAACGCAAGTTGATCTTCAAATGACTTTGAGAATAAAGATCAAAGTCAAAATCATCATAAGGTAGTTCACTTAAATCCCTACAACTTTTATTCAGATCATTTTCCTTGAAACTTTAATACTCCTTGAAACTTTAATTTTCTTTGAAACTTTAATACTGAAGAGTTATTTGGGTTGGGACATTAAAATGGGACACCCTGTATACATGGTGTACCAAAAGTCTGGAAACGGTCGAATGTTTCATAAACTATGCATTTTAGAAAGAAATGTTTCAGACAAAAGTTATTTGGTTCGAGGGACATAAGATGATGTCATTAGATTGACCTTGAGTGAACGTGAACGTTCCAAGGTCGTACGAGGAGTTCAACTTTGTTTTTTTAAATGGAATCCCCTATTTTTCAGTGCATATTTTTATAGCTTATCTCGAGAACTTTCCAAAATACTATAAATAAGTTATGTTTTATTGAATATTTTCCGAGTTATGAAGCTTGAAATTTACAATACCGCCAGCATTAACCAAGGTGTACCGCGTGGAGATTGTACGATCGGATTTACACCTCTTGTGTATATGTGTGTGTGTGTCACAGCAGAGATAAGCAGCTACTTGTTCAAAGGATCTAACGTGGTCACCATATCCTTGCATCATTCGCAGTAATTCTTTCTGAAAAAAATCGACAGAAGATTCAATGAATGCGGACCGTAGACTAGGGGAAAATTCAAATATCGGAATTATTATACTTTTCATGGTTCTTTTCCAATAAAGGTCTTGCTACATTAATCGTTCTGATTTGACCTGTAGTCGAACGTTTTTCTATCCTGGATACCTCTTCGTATTACGACACACTATCAAGCAACTGAATGAAATTTTAGTGGCATCCAAAGTGATACTGTCTGAAAGAGAAAGAATTACTTTACTGATGATGCGAGGATATGGTGACCGCGTTAAATCCTATGAACAAGTAGCTGCTTTATATAACAATACAGATCGTGAACCGATTTCGAAGTCTACAGTCCAGAAAACGGTCAGACGATTTGATGAAACAGAATCCATCAAGGACCGATAACGCACTGACAGACCAAAATTTGCGACAAACTTGGATAAGAGTTTCGAAGTGATGCAAACATTCGTCGAAAATCCTCATTCTACTTTGAGGTAGGCAGCACATGCGCTCATGCGCATGAGATTAGTACAATGTCCATTCATCATATTTTAGTGAAAAAGAAATGGCATCCTTTCAAAATTTCAAAATTAAAATCACTCAGGAGCTATTGGAAGACGATTTTGATCGAAGAAATGAATTCTGCGACGAAATTATGTATCGATACGATGATAATAATAACTTTTTCGATCACATAATTTTTTCCGACGAAGTTTCTTTTGAATTGAATGAAGCGGCATAATTGCCGATATTGGATATATGAAAATCCTCATTGAATGCGTGATATCCGCACGCAGTATCCCCAAAAACTTAACGTATGAACAGGTTTTTGCGAATATGGTATTGTCGGACTATTCTTCATTAATGGGAATTTGAACGCGGCGATCTATCAGGAGCTATTGCAAAATGAAGTCATATCCGCTCTTGAAAATATGTTTGATGGAAACAGAAAATATTTGGTTCCAACAAGATGGATGGTGCAGGCCCATACTATGCAGTAGCAGTACGGCAATTTTTGGATAATACTTTTCCAAATCGATGGATAGGAAGACGTGGTCAAATAGAGTGGCCTGCTAGATCACCAAATCTTTCTCCTGTCGATTATTTTTTTTGGGGATATCTTAAAAACAATGTATACGAAACAAAACCTGCCAACCTCGCGGACCTTAGGGAACGTATAATACACCAAGTCGATCTTATCTCGGCAGAGATGAGACGAAATGTTTTAAATAATTTTTATCTACGGCTAGGCCATTGTCAAGCAGCAGACGGAGGTCAATTTGAATACTTACTCAACTAAACCACACACCCCTACACACGCGCGCGCGCGTACACACACACACACACACACACACACACACACACACACACACACACACACACACACACACACACACGCGCGCGCGCGCGCGCGCGCGCGCGCGCGCACACACACAGCAGAGAGGGTTTGGAGTCATTAAATACTACGGGAGTGACGAACTGTGTCCTTATCTCTGCTTTGACATACACATACACATACACAAGAGGTGTAAATCCGATCGTACAACCTCCACGCGATACATCTTGTATGCCGGCTATATTATAGCCGATACACTAATGCCGGCGGTATTGTAATTTTCAAGCCCCATGACTAAAAAAGTATTCAATAAAATATAACTTATTTATAGTGTTTTGGAAAGTTCTTGGGATAAGCTACAAGAATATGTAATGAAAAATAGGAGGCTCCATTTAAAAAAACAAAGTTGAACTCCATATGACCTTGGAACGTTCACTCAAGCTCAATCCAATGACACCATCTTATATCCCCCCTCAAACCAAATAACTTTTGTCTGAAACATTTCCTTCTAAAATGCATAGTTTATAAAATATTCGTCCGTTTCCAGACTTTTGGTACACCATGTATGTATATATATATATATATATATATATACACATAGTGTACCAAACTCATCGTAGGGCAGCGACAGCATCGGGAGTCGCCAGCATGAGCAGTCGGGAGCAGAACAACAAATTGGATGCCTCAAATATTTGGTAACTCATAATCATAGCCAATAAAGGTACGTAACTCAGCCATTTTTACGATTTTTGCAAAATGATATTTGACTTTTTTCATTATATTAATCAGCTTTATGCCTCCATTGACTATGGCTACATGAGTTACCAAACACCATATATATAAAAAATATATATGTATATAATTTAATGTTATATTAGTTTTCCTACAATAATATATTAATTTTCTGTACTTACTTGACTTCTAAGTGGATGATTACGATAATGAGTAATTAAACTATATAAACTATCGAAGCAATTAGTATCAATGAGATAATATTGCGTTTGTCCCATTTCTTGTTTCAGTTTAATACGACAATGATTCACTTTTCCTTTTCTCCAAAATGACAAACAGTAATCGCCCACAAATGTAACGCATTGTCGTACTAAAAAAGTACCATCTCCAAGATAAGAATAACGTTGCAATAATTCTTCAGCTTCTTCCCTTCCTCTTGCTAATTTTCCATGAAACCATTTTTCTCCAAAATGCAATTCATCATTTGGCGCGCCCTTTTAAATAAAGTTATAATCAAATATTAGTTTACAATTTTATGGCTATATTATATGATGTATAACTTTCTAATATATAATGTAAATTATTATGCGCTTATAACTATTTATATAGCTCTATTTCCCTATAAAAGTAGAAATAGAAAAATCTTGTACCATCTTTTCTCTATGCTCAATAAAATAATAACTGTAAGGTAAAGTTCTTTAATTTAAAAAAAAACATTTTAAAGAAAGATATACAAAAATTATCTAATTTCACATCAAATATTTCTGAACGCTCAAATTTTACTTGTTGTGTCAAGTATAATGAGTAGAATTCTGAGATATTCTTTATTATTGGCCAAAATATGTTTATAAGGTATTGACCTTTTTGACATCTTCTAAAGAACAATATTTCTAACATCATATTTACGTCAAATCATTTAAATTTACTAGTGGCATATACAGTGCAGATATAAAAGTATAGAACAGAATTCATAAAAAAAGGGACAAATTAAGATCGGAAAATATTAATACTATTTAATTTTCAATATACATTACTCCTAACTTTAGAGCAATTTATGCAATCTCCAATCTCTCCATGGCATACATGCGGAACTCAATCTGACGAATATGGTAAGTGGTGCAGTACAATAACGTTTCTGGAGACGATGAATTACTGCACGATCACCGCATTATAAGAGGATGTATTGTCATATAAAAATAATCAATCGCTTCAATACGTTTCGAGTCGTACACTAGCAATGATTAATCAGGTTATATTTTTACTAATGGTATTGATTGACTATCATTCCAATTGTCCTTCATCAGGTTGATGCGATCAGAGTGCAAACAGCTTCAATATTAACGTTAGTCCGACTAATCAATAAGTGGCTACTTCTTTTACCATCCCTTTGCTGTCACAAATACCAGTGAAATATTTCTCTGAGTTTTAACGACTCAGAGAAATATCACCAAATGCTTTTTGAATCATTTCGTACGTCCAGGATACACTTTCCTAAATTTGCAACAAAAATTTTATCGCGTGTCGTTGTTCTAAAGACTTTTCTATAGCAATGATAAAAAAACTCACAATACAAACCATTATATAAAAAAAATAAGAAAAATATACTATAGCACAAAATGTGCGTGCGTGCGTTCTCCGCACGTGCGTGTCACGCGGTACATCCTGAATAATACTAATGCTGGCGGCACCGTAAATTCTAAAGATAACTCATAACTCAGACAATTCTCAACAAAAATAGGTCATCAAGTAGTGTTTTGAAAACGTCTCGCTGTCATCTTTAACACTGTGTGATAAAAAGTGGGGTGTGATAAAAGGTACGGCCATTTAAGAAAATTATGTTGGCCTTGACCTCGCCTTGACCCCTCCACTCAAGGTCAAACAGATATGATCATTCAATAGGACTTTTAATACCCTACAACTTTGATTGGAAACATTTTTCTCAGAAACGTTTCGTTTTCGAGATATTTGACCGTTTCCAGACTTTTCTAACACACTGTATATATAAGTATATTTACAATTTTATTAAATCATGTAGAGAAGTACGATTTATTAAATATTGCAAATGCTTTGAACGCCGTATAATAGCCTTCCATTTAGCGTTCAAAGCATTTGTAGTCTCAAGTGGATCCTGACTGCTATTGGTTAGGTGACTGGGTTGCGCATGTACAGTTCATTGTTCGCTACGCTAACATCAAAAATGCCAGCGGAGAATATAGCTACTGGATATACTGTGTTATAAGGCACCAGTAATAACGTCCGGATAACATCTCACCCCTAAGATAGAACGATGAAGACTTAGGTAATACAAATCCCTAACTTACCCTCTTTGAAAAGACGAGATGGAAAAGACCTACTTAAATTTTTTAACTCGAATTGCTTATTGTTTATTGCATATTCATATAGACCATCTTCAGACTTTTTCAAAGCACTATAATTTTATTCACTTTAAGTAGGCCATTTCGAAATTATCGAGTTTTTATAGTAAGATGTCTAGCCCATAGAAGCAATTAATTTGAACAACTTTCGTCTGAAACATTTTTTATTTGCCTAATATTTTTTGAGATATTTAAGGAAAATTTATAATATTTTCAACATTCAACTTACGATATCTCGCTAACTATTTGTGGGAAGAAAAAGTGGTATTAGCCTTTTTTACGAGGATTCGATAAGTAAAGTAAAAAATCAATAAAATCGCCTATTTTCGGAAAAATTCTTTTTCACTTCTCGACGTAGTCTCCTTGGAGCTCTACACACTTAGTCCAGCAGTGTTCTAATTTTTTGATCCCTTCGAAAAAATAGGCAGTCTCGAGGCCTTCAAAATACGCATCCACAGCAGCGATGACTTCTTCATTGGATGAAAATTCTTTCCCTCGAGCCAGATCTTGAGGTTTAAGAATAGAAAGAAGTCACAAGGGGCCAAATCAGGAGAATAGGGTGGATGGGACAGCAATTCGAACCCTAATTCGTGCAATTTTGCCATTGTGACTATGGAGGTGTGAATCAGAGCGTTTTTACGACAACTGCTGCCACGTTCGCTTCAAACGTCTGCCACACGTAAACTAAACGTCGCTTTTAGCTAAAACTTGGTATGAAGCAGTTTGATGAGTGTTACTTCCTGCCATTTTGCGGAAATTTACCTTATTTATCGAACGATTATCCCCTCGTACTTTATTTAGTCTCAAGAATTTATTGCCTTATTTAGTTTCAAGAAATATTGCTACAATAGTGCCCTAACTTTTATTAACTTATCGACTTTTGGAAATTTCAAAATTATCAAATTAACAAAAGTCAGTGTGCTATTGTAACAATATATTCTTGACATCAAATAGAGTAAAAAAGTCTAATACCACTTTTTCTTCCGACAAATAGCAAGATATCATAAGTTAAATGTTGGAAAAGTTACCAAGTTTTCTTTAAATATTTAAAAAAATATGCAAATAAAAAATGTTTCCGACAAAAGTTGTTAAAATTAATTAATAGAAACAGGTGAACACAATAAGAAATTAGAATTTACATTTAAGAAAATGATCGGTAAATATCTCGAAAGTAGCTATCTGTAAACATAATGATATAATTGTTTTGATAACATAATTGATATAATTGTCACCTTTGAAACCATACAACTTTTCTCTGAAACATTTTTCTCTAAAATGTCATGTTTACCAAAAAAATCGGGTGACACGAGTAGTCTGGAACACCTTGTATATTCCTAAAAATATACTTGACATTGAGGATAAATAAATAACCCAGATAGACAAATTTCGATAGATTGCCTGCATAGAGACTGAATTCGAGAGTTAAAATAGTAGCATAAGTACATAAAGATGCGTCTTCATATAAAAACATTATAATAACATACAGGGTGGAGAAAAAACCCCGGGACTCCTGAAAATTTCAAAAAATATACACTTTATAAAAAAATGTTTCAGACAAAAGTTGTAGCGTTGAAAAAGATCTATTTACCGATCTTAACAATTTGACCTTGGGTGGCGTCATCAAGGTCAGGACAAGGTCACCTCAGATTTTTTAAATGGAATCCCGAATTTTTTATTGCGTATTCTTATAGCCCTTCTTCAGACCTTTTCAAAGCACTATGGTTTTATCCAATTTGAATAAGCTGTTCCGAAGTTATCGAGTTTTTTAAAGTAAGATCTAGCCAACTAAGGCAAGATCGGAGGATGATCCAGCCAACTAAGACAAGATCGGAGGATGATCCGGCCAACTAAGGCAAGATCGGAGGATGATCCGACCAACTAAGGCAAGATCGGAGGATGATTCAGCCAACTAAGGCAAGATCGTAGGATGATCCGGCCAACTAAGGCAAGGTCGGGAGTTGTCCGGCCAACTAAGGCAATACTGGAAAGCTTTAAAGTAATTGTTCAAAATGTCCGCCATCAACATCACTGGATCATCCTCCGATCTTGCCTTAGTTAGCCGGATCATCCTACGATCTTGCCTTAGTTGACTGGATCATCCTACGATCTTGCCTTGATTGGCTGGATCATCCTCCGATCTTGCCTTAGTTGGCTAGATATCTTTAAAATCGATAACTTCGGAACAGTTTATTCAAATTGGATAAAACCATAGTGCTTTGAAAAGGTCTGAAGAAGAGCTATAAGAATATTCAATAAAAAATTGGGGGTTCCATTTAAAAAATCCAAGGTGACTTTGTCCTGACCTTGATGACGCCACCCAAGGTCAAATTGTTAAGATCGGTAAATAGACATTTTTCAACGCTACAACTTTTGTCTGAAACATTTTTGTATAAAGTGTATATTTTTTTGAAATTTTCAGGGGTCTCGGGGTTTTTTCTTCACCCTGTATAAAAGAAGCAATCTGATGCCATGAAAATTACGGTAGATGCCATAATTGTGTGAGCAAGAGGACGCAATTAATCAGTAATATAAACAAACTGATATTTTGCTGTAAAGTATAGTATAATAAATATGTATTTCTTACAGCAAGCATATTATGCTGCTTCAATGGTATCATAAAATATACATTGAACGCATGCATGCTGTTGCCAACATGTCTGTCTACCTGGCAAGTACAATACAACCTAATCTAGCGAATAAAGACATGAACCAACAATAGCTTTTGCTCCATTAGTTCTTCAAGATGGGAATGGATACACTAATGCTTTAAGATTGCGAAATGACTATAATTATTTTAATAATATTAATATTCTTCCTTAGCAAGATCGAATAGTACGATGAATAAAGAATAAACAGATAATATACTTTAAGAATTTGAAAATATAGACAATATATTTATATTTATATTTTAGAATATTATAATGAAAATATATCTGATATGTAATATTAAAATATTGTAATAATATTTGTGATGTCACATAAAGTAAAAATTGTTCTAATTTTCTTATAATACAATAAAATATTACATCTTATAATAAGGATTGCAAATATAATTGATAGTTTTTAAAATTTATAGTTTATCCGAACTTTTTGGTCTCATTAACATATTTTGTGGTATG